GGTTCAATTGCAATTCCCTGGGTTGATTTACTGTTGATTAGACTGCGGAAGATCCGACAGTAGCTTGGAATCTCTTAAGCTGACCAAGCCCTCTCAGTCTAACTACCCGGCAGACGACTAGTCTTCACCGGGATAGAAAGCTGAAGCAGTAAGAACAGAACTCCACTACTGGCGTTAAGAACACCAGTACAAAGCAGTAAACTGGCTAACTCTCGTATAGCCAATCTCCTACTATCGAATGAAGAGGCTCTAACAACCTAATCAGATTCTATCTATCTCAGGTTGAAGCAGAAATTGAGACAAGCTGATCAGACTCAAATCAATTCATGAAACATGCATCATTCGATTAAAATCAAACAATAATATCATCCCAAGTCATTACAATCAAATCCCTAACACAAGGAACTAGGGTTCTTCATACCCAAGTGAGAGAAAGGTTCTACTCCATAGAGAGAGAAGAGAAAACAGAAATCAGAGTAGTCATACTCATAAAGATGAGGAGAATCTGCTCTGGGATGTCAATCTTCACTCCTAGGGACGCAATCTGGGCTTCAATGATGAGAAATCCACTCCAAAATAGCTCCTAGGGTTTGTTCTTCGCTCTTTCTCTCTCTAAAACTCTGTTTTTGCCCAGAAAATCGAATTCCCTCTCCTTGGCTCGAATCTGCCTTCAAAAACCCGACTCTGGGCGAATTACGGGCAGAATTACGGCCGTAATCACTTCCTGCCCGTAATTCGCACCAAAACGCGCGTTTCACTTAAGCTGGCAGAGGAGAAGTTACGGCCGTAATTTCCCAATTACTGCCAGTAATCTGGGAATTACGGCCGTAATTCCTGGGGGTCTTGCCCGTAATTTCACCACCGAGAAGAATTGCTGGGGGAATGCGCGGCCAATTAATTACGGGCATGCCCTGCTAAATTACGGCCGTAATTCTGCAAGGGCTGCCCGTAATTCACTCTGTGACTCGCCAATTGACCTCCAAATGACCCGAACCTTGCGCCTTTGCTCCTCTTTACTTGCTAGGACCTGAAATACGACAAAACAACACAACCTAGCGTAAAATAGGCCAAGGAACAATCAATTCGAGCCAAAATGGACAGGAAATCTGAGTTAAAACACGTGCAAATACGATGCTATCACCCATTTCGGGTTTCAGATCGACAGCGAGCACAGCCCATCCGGCCTACATCGAGGAGCTTCCAGTTTAATCCGCTTCGGTCGCAGTTTCAGTCAGATCCTTCCTCGAGCTTTCAGCCGCCGCGACGCCAGCAGTTTCAGTCAGATCCGTCTTCGAGCTTTCAGCCACCGCGAAAGCAGCAATTTCAGTCAGATCCGTCTTCGAGCTTCTATCAGCCAGAGGATAGCTTCCATACACCGCAGCATACTACGATGGGAGGCGGAAACATGGCTTCAGGTGGTGATACTAGAGCAGCCTCGACTCCCAACCTGTGGGACAGCCTAGAGGGTGATCAAGTTTTTCAGGAGACGATGTGGAATTATGAGCAGAATCTGCAGTCTCAGCAGCATGGTGGCGGTGCGCCTGAGGAGCATCTTCAGTCTCAGCATGATGATCTGTTCGGTACACAGGATCAGGATGGTGGTGTCGAGGAAGATCATTCCCAGGAGTATGATGGTCGACCTATGCGTAACAGGGTGGCTGCAATGTATGGTACTGACGACCATCTAGTGGTGGAGCATGGTGGTCGTCGTGGTGGTCGTCAGTGAGACTATTATGTAGTTTGCTTATTTTTGGATTGTTATTATGTACTTCTTTTACACTATTATGTGTGGACTATTATGTTTGGACTATATAGGATTATGTTATTATTTTATTAACGATAAAAACCATAACTACAACAACTTCAAACAACAACTACTACATGATTATTCGAAGGAAATACAACAACTACATACCAAACTACAACAACTTCATACCAAACTACAACAACTTCTACAGGATTATTCGAAGGAAATACAACAACTACTACATTTGAACAAACTTCTCAGCCACGTCTATTACCTCTACTTCCTCTTCTACCACCTCTCGCACTTGGTTGGCCACCACTCCCTCTTCGGTTGCTCCCACTCCCACTAGCTTGACCACCGCAGGTTGATGCATTATGTCCCGCTTGGTTACAGTTGCTACACACTTGGTGTGATGCACCCTCCCTTGGCTCTCCACTATGGCAAATGCAATTGGAAAAATTTTCTTCCGACCATCAAATGAGCTCGCCATGAGTAGCACTCCTTTATACTTCCCAGTAAGAAATGTTCCATCAACAACCATGACGCCCCGGACAATTCTTGAATCCATCTATACAAGGTCCATAAGCCCAGAATACTCGCTGAAATATCGAATGACCTGGTTGAGTCGAAGGAACTCTTACCCAATCAATCACCGATGTTGGCATTTTTCTCTTGACTACCCGCAAGAATGTCTGCAAAAAATCGTAGGATTCTTCCCAATTTCCATGCAACTTCTCCAATGCTCTTTGTTTCCCATACCAAGCCTTCTTGTAAGTAACTTACATATTAAACTTATCTTTCAACTCGGCTTGCACAGTTAGAACACTCAGATTTGGTTGGGCACGTACCAAATGTTTGACGGCCTCAGATATCATGTCGACATCAAGATGGCGTTGATCCGTCGGTTGAGTCGTACTGCTACAAGAATGCACCAACTCAGCCTTTCTCACAGTCCATTCGCCTCCAGCATCTCGACATCCAAACCGCACCATCCAAGGACAATTGTCATCCTTGTGCCTCAAGCATCTGACCTTCCAGATTGAAGGTGACGACTCCACCACGCCATATTGAAATTTGCGTTGTAGTGCGTGGTGTTTAATCGCCATCTGTGCAGCTTGTTTCGAGTGAAATATCTGCCCCTTGTAGAATTCTCCTTCAAAACTATCAACAATAGGCATTGGAATTACGCCATATGAATCAACAAGTGAGTATTCTTCGTCCTCTTCATTACCCTGCAAGTAAAAATATGGAGGATAATTAGGCTGCTCTCCTTCCCCCTCTTCCTCCTCCTCCTCCTCATCTTCCTCCTCTCCGTCATCACCGTCATCATAGTCATGATCGGATGGCACGCTCCATGTATCATCTTCTTCCTCTCCACCCTGATCTTCACTGAGCTCAACATGTATCTCAGCACCCAAACAATAAGGATTTTGTGCCATAAAATTCCAAAGCACATTCAAGCTATCATCATCCACAACAGGCATAGCATAATGAAATAAAACACCATTCTGCCATTCTGGAAGACGGTAAGTGAAACCTGTGATCACATCACTATCTTGTACTACTTCGTCTCTACGCCGTATTCTCGGAATTAGATTCTCACAAAGATAATGATATGTGACCCTGGATGGAATCGTCATCTGAAAACTACTACCACCAACGAATTTGACGCCCAAATGATCTTCTACTTTCTCCGATTTCCACCGAACGACTAGTTCAAATCTTTTAAAATCACTACAAAAAAACAAACTCGCTAATTAAAACTAAACACAATCATAATGGCATTTGAATAATATAATTACAAAAATAAATGTGTCTTACCTATTAGCCATTTTTGCCGCAGCAACCAGAGCTCTCTCCTTTGTTTTGGACGATTTTTTTTTTTGGTGTGAAACTGAAACGAAATTGGCTGGGTTTATATAGGGGGTGGCCACCTAACTCGCTTATGTCTCAGGCGGCGCCACCTTAGTCTCGGGCGCCGCCTCCTGGGATAATTTCCCACCTAACTCGCTGGTGTCTCAGGCGGTGCCACCTGAGTCTTGGGCGCCGCCGCTGTCACTTTAAATAAAACGATCTAAAATGTCATCCTCAGCGGCGGCGCCTGAGTCCCAGGTGTTCTCGCCATTTTTTGTTTCCAAAACACAATATCTGTGTAAATACTTCTTAATCCGTCATATTGGTGGTTAATTAAAAAAACAATATTTATGTAATTTATCCACTAAATAATGAGTCATTTGGAAATGACTCATAGATAGGAGACATTTGGAATGGCGAACCTAGTGATGGCAATTTCAACCCGCCCCACGGGTATTACCCGACCTGACCCGCGATGGGGCAGGTATTACCCGACCCGCAGTAGCGTGGGGCGGGGCATGGGTATCTACTTCCGACCCGCCCTGCCCCGCCCCGCCCCGTGCTAGACTCATTTTATCTCAATTTTTTACAATTTCTATACATATTTCTCCTATTTTGACTTTTCTTCAACTAGTTAGAGTCGCTCTTTCAACTTGTTAGACTCAATTACCCATTCTATTATCACTATTTTTCATTCTTAAAGTGTTTTTCCCTTCATTTTATCGCAAAAAGTAAAATTTAATCGTATTTTTTTGGAATAACATGTAAGAGTGGGTCGACCCGTCCCGCCCCGTACCCGCGCGGGTTTTACCCGCCCCGCCCCATAGTAGCGTGGGGCGGGGCATGGGAATTGAGGTACCCGCCCCGCCCCGCCCCATTGCCATCACTAGGCGAACCCTAAAAAATAAAGAAAATTGAGGGGTAGAAAAAAGGGGTAGGAAAAACGGGGTAAAAAAAGAACGGATTCAACATTTGCCACAGCATAAACCCAAAACCCTTGGGAGTGGCCAGTGACTACCAAAGGCTCTCCGCAACTGCAACTGCAACTGCTGGGATGGCTTCTCTTAACAGCAATAAGGAAGGATGCTATTCGATGAATGTCTAGATTCTAATCCCGAGCTAGAAGACAGACCGTAAGTGCCCAGGTGAAATAGAATGTTGAAGGCGTTTCAATTGGTATCTACCTTTTCTGCTCGCAATTTGTGGTTGCTTTCTGTTTCTCTGGTGTCTCCCTTGCAATTCCGTCAAGCCCTCCATGATACGTTGGGGCAGAATTAGGAAGTTGTCAGATCCCAGATGGGGTTTAAAGAATTTCGGTGATAGCCAATGGTGCCAATCGCAGCCAGTGGGTTGCTTATGCTCCGTTATAAGTGGTCCTAGGTTATATGGAAGGAGACGAATGGTTTCTTGGGATAATCCTGGTGCTTCCGTTGGGGCTTCGGTCACTTATGGCCAAATTTCTGGAGCCAATAGACGAGAAGCTCGGAGAAAAGGGCAAGCTGCATTGTTGGAGTACTTGCACTCAACAAGGAGTTTACAGTTTATGGATGCAGATGATATAAGTAGAAATTCGCCTCATTTTCTGGAGAAAATACTGGCGAAGATTGATTATTCTGAGAAAGATATTGGCAGGTCTATAACACGTTTTCTGAGGTATCACCCCATCAATGAATTTGAACCTTTCTTTGAGAGTTTGGGTTTAGAGCCGAATGTATACAGTTGTATTCTTCCTGAAGATATGATGTTTCTGAGTGATGATGATTTGCTCATGGAGAACTACCACGTCTTGTGTGAGTATGTGATACCAAGAAATAAGATGGGGAAGATTCTCATTGAGGTACCTGAAGTTTTTCGGTATGAGCATGGGGTGTTGGCCTCAAAATTCAAAGCCTGTGAAGGAGCAGGGATTAACAGGTCTTTCATAGCTAAGGTGATAGTTTCCAGCCCTCAATTTTTGACGGGGAATGCTATTGTTGATTTTGTTAGTTTGTTGCAAGTGTTGGGAAAAGGGGGTATCTCATTATCTTGGGTTGAAGAGCATCTGCCTGAGAAGATGTGTTGTCCTTGGAGCCAGGTTCTGTCACTTGTCAACTTATTCGTCAAGATTGGTTATAGTGAACAACAGTTATGTTGCTTGATAATCCAGCATCCGGATTTCTTATTTGAGGGGGATAAAACACTATCAGTTATCGGGTTCTTATCCAAATTTGGCACCCCTATGAATCAGGCATGTTCAGTCTTTTTTGAATGCCAAGTAATGGAGGTTGGAAACTTTTTGTCAAATTTGAGGCAGTGCTTCGTGTTCTTTACTGAGATCGACATGGAGCCACTTGAGATTGGAAAGATTGTGCATTCTCAACCTCTATTGTTGAGTTCATGTGCATTGAAGAAAACCAGCACTTTGTTATCTCGTTTGAAATGTGGGAAGGTGACGCTTTGTGAGGTTATCCTGAATGATCCCTTTCAAATAAAGAATTGGGTGATTGGATCAAAGTGTACACCACTGGGTCCAAGTGATAAACAAAGCTCAAAGTTGTTGAAGAAGAAATTCTTGTTGGACTTGGGATTCACAGATAACTCTGAAAAAATGGAAAAAACACTTAAGCTTATTCGAGGCAAAGGATCAGAGCTGCAAGATAGGTTTGACTGTATTGTGAGAGCGGGGTTGAGTAAACATGATGTTTGTGCAATGATCAAAGCATGCCCGCATATTCTTAATCAGTCGAAGGAGGTTATCAACATGAAAATTCATTTTGTTGTAAATGAATTGGGTTATCCGATCTCAGTGCTACTTATGTATCCAAAGTTTTTGGTCCGCACAGCACAGGTGATCAAGCTTAGATTATCCATGTATGATTGGCTCAGAGAACAAGGACTAGTTGCTAGAACCCTGTCTTTCAGCACTGTTCTCAATTCATCAGAAAAATTGTTTGCCAGACAGTATGTAACAATTCATCCCAGAGGGCCAGAATTCTGGAAGGAGCTGAAGACTAAAATATATTCCAGCTGAAAGCCTAATTCCATGGGGTCTGCTTCCATCTAAGAGGCTAAGAAAAATCAGCTTCGCCCTACTGCAAGAATTACCATAAAGCAGAAAATGACTTGGTCATGTCAGCATACGTTCCCATTGCCTACATCGATTTCTGCTTGCATTATCCTGTTGAGTTTTGGATCCTGTGGAATAGACATCTAAACGAAAAGAAAGATTGATTCTTTGCTACCTGCCATCCGCAGCAGAATAAATGGTCTAAAAAAACCCTGCTAGTGAAGGTCATTTGATTCAATAGCGTTGCATTTGACAGGAACGGATTTGATAAATATTGATAACTCTCCAATAGAGTATCGTGTGGAAACATCGATTTTCGCATCCTAACATGGCACTGATTTTCGCTTTACCCTTTACACAGGTTGATTTCTGGACTATGGGGATGATGGCTTCTGAGTTACTTGTTGAATCTTCTTACCCAATGCATCTTAGCTTAAACATGCGTGGCTAAGGTCAAGATCTGAACTGTTACTGGGAACTCCAACAACAGTTATGGTGTCTGTGATCAAACTGTTGAACGGAGAATTGTTCAGAAAATGGAGTGCATCCCCGATTTGTTATGGCAAATTGATCCCAGATGGAATTGTTATACATCTAGATAATGAGGTACTAAGCGGTGCAAGCAACCTGGGATCTAGCAGAATTCAAACTTTATATTGGCAGTAATGTTGCTCGACTATTGTGGAAGGCACGGGGAAATTCAACCAGGTTATCTACCCTGTGATAAAGATATTAATGTGTAATGGTACAATTCTTATCTGCAAAGCATCTCTGTTTCGGTCTTCCATAGTCCTGTTTAATCATCTCTTCCATGAGCAGTTCGTCTACCCTTTTCTTCTCCTCTGTCTCTCTGCCTAGTTTCTCTGGGCTGATAACTGGGGAGAATGCTGTAAGTTAGTTCTTAATTTAAGCGACTGTGGTTAGACATTATGAAAGCAAAGCTGAACCAATATGCTTGAATGAAAAAGAAAATAAAGAATTGCTTCTGCTAATTATCCAATAGCTATTGCTGTTTACAGGAGTTTTCAGGTTCATACCTCTAAGCTAGTTAATTAAAGAAAATTGGTGGAAGTTCTCTTTATGCACCAATCTGATGTGGTTTTGCAGTAGCTCGCCTACGAAGTCGTCTGAATTTGCTGTGCTACTTCCCAGTTCATGGCAGTGGAAAAGAGGCCTTCTCATCTCTTGATTTTACACGAATGTTGCGATTTGCATCACCTGTATCTGCTAGCAATGTTATTGTACTTCTCATTGTGCAGTTCTGATTCTTGTGCATATGTTATATGCTACTTGGAATACCACTTCATAGACCTATAGCACATTTCTGGTTTGGCTGGCCCTCATAGTGGGCGTCCAAGTCTAATCCTGGATACAGATATGAGATGGTTTGTTGGTTCTACTCGTCCATTAGCAATTTCATGAATTCCCAGCTATTACTTTTTGCAGCAAGATTAGATACCTCTGCATTAGATTTTGTTTGACGACTCTTTCACTCTAATTACTACTGATTCTTTGGTTTTGGGGTTGAATGACTGTCTGTAACTTGCTTGTGAAGGACTCAGTGTTGCCAGCAGCACCTTGGATGCAACACAATGAAAACTTTATTTTGGAGTTTTTTCACCAGAGATTACAAGCGAGGTGCTAGTCAACGATTTTGGATGGCTGTGATGAGTAACAAACAGCATGGTGCATGTTTTTGTGTGTGTGTGTTGGCATTACATTTCAGGGTCAGGGGGTGGCTTGGTCATTGGTTTTTCTTTGAAATCTTATAAATTCTTATCATATTTCTGATTACTTGGTTTTGCTCTAGTTGTCCGAAACCAAAGAGGTTGATGTGTGTAATTTGAAATAACCACACACGATCAATGAATAAAAAATATGGGTTTGGCTAATTCTGGACTTAATCATTATAACCCTGCTGAAAAGGTTTTGGCTGCATTTTTCTTTTGCAGATGATCTCTCATTTTTTAAGCAAGCTCAATACTCAAGCAAAATAGATAGTGATATGATAGAAGATTGTCTATCATTCCGAGTCTGTTTTCAACCTTTTGGGAAGAGAAAGAAGGGGAAATTATGGTGCTTTCTTTTTACGTTTTAAAATTTTGGTGCTTTCAAATAGGAATAATGTTTGACTTTTCCAACTTTTTTCCCATCACCTAAATTTAGAACCAAAAACTAATTATGAGATATAATAAACATGAAAACAGTTCACAAGAGTAAATATAAAATGCAATAAATTAATACAGATTAGATTATAATATTTCTCTTGATTAGTGATTAATGATTCTAGTATGTTCTTTAATACAAAAAATTACATGACTAAATTCTTATAAGAGAAATGTACACAAGTAGTAATCATTAGTGTCCAAAACCATATGTGGAATCTATATCTAAACTTCGTACCAATAATCTTGTTACATTAATGTACGCCAATTCACATTGTAGATCATATAATTAATTACTTGTCCATTTGATTATTATAAGTTTATATATGATGGTTTGGGACTTTAACATTAACCGACTAAGTCATTTTATATAGTAAAATTAATTAGGTTTAATACACTTGTATATCCAAAACTTTCACTGTTGTGCCAATAATATCCAAATTTCCCAAAATACCACTTATAACCATGTGTTTAAAGTTGTTCTTTGCCAAATCTATCCATTTCCCAATATATTTTTGGTTAAATACACTTGTATATCCAAAAACACCTTTAAATAAAGTGAAGGAATGAGATATAAGTGGTATTTCGGGAAATTTGGATTTTATTGGCACAACCGTGAAAGTTTTGGATATACAAGGGTATTTAACCAATTAATTATATCCTTAAAAGGCATTGCCTAATTGGTTGTAGTGTGTTACTCAAACTATCTTACATGTAAGTTAGTGACTAAAGTATTATTTAGGAGTGTAGCATTTAGTGACTAAAGTATTATTGTCTATAGTAAATCTTATTATTGTCAAATGCATGTTATTTCACATTATAGATTATATACTTAATTACATATCAATTGGATAACTACATAATGTTTTTTTTTATTTCTGAGTGATATTAATGGAGGAAAATAGTTAAACTTACAATTCTACCTAGGACCCCTAAAAGACTCTAAAGAAGCCACTTCGGAATCACCTTCGACTATCACGCGGGTCAAGGAGCTTGAGGCTATGATGGAGATAGCATCTCTAAAGGCTAGAAGCTCTGCCAGGAAAGGATTGACTATTCCTTGAAGCTGCAGCCCACACGCCAACACCACATGCCCGTCCGACCCACGGATAACAAGCCCAGACGAACACCCGTTGGCACAAACAGCAGCATCGAAGTTGATCTTCAAAAAGTCTTCTGGCGGATGGACCCAAGAGGTGGCAGGATGGTTTGGGAGTAGAACTGCAGGGTGGAGGAGGAAGGAGAAGAAAGGAGACTTCGAGGACCTGGTTGTAGAACTAGCTGGCTAGGGAACGGACATGAGGTTGGTAAAATTCGAAGGTCACTTTATTTCTAGACTTCCAGATTCTCCAAAGTAAACAGATGCATTGGAGAATGTGGAATGGGGCAGTCTCAGAGACCATGACATGTCGCCACCATAGACTAAAGTTAACAGTCTGGGCGGTCTCAATAAAGTTGCTCAATCCCACTAAAGTCCACAATCTAATGGCTAGGGGGCATCTGAAGAATAAATGTTCAATGCTTTCTCGATGTCTCCAGCAGACAGGGCATCGGTTAATGCACTGTACTCCACGAGTTTGAAGGGCCGATTTCAACCATAGTATGAAAAGGTTAGAATCCTCCCGTAACTGACGTTTTAGATAGTCAAATGCACAGATACTCATTAAAGTGATGACCATTAAAAGCTTTCTGGCAGAAGCCGTTGCCGGCCATGATGTATAATTACCGAATTGACTCAATTGCTTGCCAATCTGTTCTAGTATCGAATTGATGGATGATTGCATTAATTAGGCCTTGTGAGCATATTTATTTGCGGGAGCCCTTTGAATACGCCTCATTATGCTGGCGAAAGAATCTCTTTATTAGAGTTTTAAAACACTCTAGCTCGTCATTAAGGAGACGATTTGAAAGCACAATTAAGACTTTTCCGGCGCTAGCCGTTTTTGGCCATAAAGCCTTGTAACCGACTTGTGAAAAAGTGGTTACTAAACCCAATAACTATTGTATTAAATAAGCATAAAGTAGGCAATTATGTGGCTAAAACTGGTTCAAGTTTATTAAAAAAGGTAACCATAATAGCGCTTTGGAAAATAAAAAGGAAATCCAAATAACTGTAACGAGGACTAATAATTAATAGTCAGTAATACCATAACCATTGATAATAATTATAACTGAAAGTCCATAAATAATAATAACCAATAACTACTTTCCCACCGAAATCTCTATCTTACGAGATTATAGTCTATCTTCGAGACAAAGTCGGAGTTACCAAATATACCACATTAGTGTGATCATATCTTAATATCTTTAGAATAAATTAAGACATAAAAATTACTAAAATTAAAGAATGTAATAAAATTCCCCTAGGGAAAAACAGGTTTGATAAACCAAAGCAATTAAAATGCTATAGTGTTAACTAGGATATAATTAAGCCGACGAGGTGATTACGGAGGAAATAATTAAAGCTAATATAACAAGCACAAGCCAATAATTAAAGATAACTACATAATGTTTACAAGTGATGATTTCGGATTTTAACATGTAGTAACTAAGATATTGTCTAGTCATAGGACAAGGATAATTGGCTATAGTAGATTTCAGAACTTATAATCATCATCTCCACTATGGTATATAACCTAATTTGGTTGTTCTAAATATTGTATAATTAGAATAGAGTCCACAAATAATACTTATTTTATTTTTCTGAAAACATTTCACATACAATTTTAGACATTGACCTAACTATAGTAAACCTTAATATTAACTCATAGGACAAGGTTAATTGACTATAGTAGATTT